TTTTATTTTGTTATATATAAAAAATCTTTTCATACCCAATACATAAAAAGTAAAAAAAGTCAGTGACAAAATTTCATCCTTATATAAATATCTTTTTGATTAAGAATTACTATATAATATATATATTGGGTGATAAAAAGATTTTTTATATATAGCAAAATAAAACTACATATATAAAGTACAAAAATATTTATATTATGTTTATATTATCGTTATATATACATTGCATATAAAATATTATATCTTTTATCTATGCTAGAATCTTGTAAAAAAATATTTCTTAAGAAATAAAAAAAATATTTAAAGATCTTGTAAAAATAATCTTTAAACGTTGTAGATTTCAGAAAACGCAACAGAGTATAATATTTGTATAATATTTGTATAATATTTGTTGGAATTATACAATATAGAATATAATTGAGAGCATGTGCTATACACAAGGGTGATCCACGGAACTAGGCCGAGCTCTAGCACTTGTACTGTTGAAGATAGAGAAAAAAGTTAAATGGCATAACATGAAAAATTTTTCTATGGACTAATTTTTTTCCTAAGTGCAACAATGCGCCAGAAAAGTGCAATTACACTTTTTTTTTAAACAAAAATATTTTTTTTTTGTGCATAAATAGGTTCCTCTGAATAATCTCTGCATAAAAGTACTAAGATAAGATGCTTGAAAAATTAATATTTTACAAAATATTTGATGTTTTTGAGTGAGGTATATGCTTTATTCAAGGTGATGTTTAAACGTTACACTGTATTTACAGTTACGGAGATTTTAAGTATAAACACTTAATGATGCATAAGGTAGTATCAATTGACCACAGTTTATAGTAATTAAAAATAAAGTATATCTTTAATGTAAGTCCATAAACGCATTTACACTTTATCTTTATAATTACTATAAATTGTGATCAATTGATACTTTTACACGTCCTCAAGTGTTTATATATAATCCTAATAATAAAATTCGTAATCGTAAACACGGTGGAACGTTTAAACATCACCTTGAATAAAGCAATATACCTCACTCAAAAACGTCAAATATTTTGTAAAATATTAATTTTTCGAGCATCTTACTCTAATACTTTTATAAAGATTATTCAAAGAAACTACAATATTTACGAAGAAAATATTTATAAAATTTATATTTATAAAAAAAAAATTATTTCTAGTAAAAAAAAATGCAATTGCACTTTTCTGGTGCATTGTTGCACTTAAGAAAAAAATAAGTCCATAAAAAAATTTTTCATGTTATGCCATTTAATTTTTTCTTCTACTATTTTTTTCTTTTTTCAACAGGACAAGTGCTAAAGTTTGGCCAAGTTTCGTGGATCACCCTGTATAATAATAATGTACATGCTGCAAACAAAATAGAAATTTCTTACAAAAATTCATTAAAAAAGTCGTATTTTTTGTTTACTAGTAACACTAATATTTTAGTGTTACTAGTGAACTAATAATTTTTTCTCTCCCTCCTTTCTTTTTCTGATACCAAGATTTTCAATATGTAAGACAAATATTGGCATAATTTTTACATAAAAGTTTTATATTATGTTAATAAGTAATTGTTAATAAGTAATTTCAAGAAAAACACTCTTAATGTACTAGAAAAGAGATATATTATTTTAATGATAATAATACAATATAAATATGAACACAGTATAATTAACTTTAATTTTAAATAAGTTCAAGTTTAATTCATAAAGAGATTAAAAATTAATTTATAATGAGATATGAGAAAAAAATAGAAAAAACATCTTTAAATTTATAACTATTGCATTTTTATATATGACTTAGATATCTTATAAGAATAATTCCAGGCAAAAAAAAAATATCTTGCAAAATCAAAGCAATAAATTTTGTGGTAAAAAATGATGTTAGACAATAATATTTAAAATTGTATATTTCAATATCTCTCTTCTATACATTGTTATTATTTACTATTATTTAATATATTGTAATATTTCATTTTATATACACAATATATTACAATTATATACATACACATACCATATCATATACAGTGTTCTATTTTTAATTGAACGCGATAATAACTCCAAAACTACACGTTATAGAGAAAAATGTTTCAGACTAAAATTTTATGATTTCAAGGGAAACCTTGTAAAGTTTATCTTGGTGATACACTTGGATAATGCTACGGTATTCAAACTTCAAAGATTCATAACTCAGGAAGTTCTCATCGAAAAAAGGTTTGTAGCGAAGATTTTAAAAACATCTCTCCATCAGCTACAAAAATATGCAATAAAAAATGAAGATTCCATTTAAAAAATCCAAATTAATTTTGAAAATATCTTAGCGCGATCACCTCAAGCTCAAACCAATAGCAGTGTCATACGTCCTTAAAACCATAAAACTTTTGTCTGAAACATTTTTTTCTATAACACGTAATTTCGGAGTTATTACCATGTTCAATTTAAAATGAGACATCCTGCATGTGTGTGTGCGCGCGCGCGTGCGTGTGAGTGTGTGTGTGTGTGTGTTGTTTTTTGTCAAATATGTACGTAATATGAAAAAGAAAGATCTATTTCGTTCGCGTACATGCATGTGTATATATATTAGGTTGAATTGTAGATATTTTATTTAACAAACATATATGTAAACCGTTAAATAATTAGTATAATAATCCTTTGCATATAATTATTTGCTTATTTTCAAATAAAAAGTGTTTTAAAATCATGCAACAAAGAAATGATTATATCAATCATAATATCCTAATCTGTTCTGTAAATGTACATTAAATGTACATTAGTTCTACAAGATTAATCAATATTTTTTCAACTAGTCAGCGAAACAAACATTTGTAATATATAATAATTAATCATCTACGAGTTATCTATAAAACAATTATAAAAGCATAGAATCTCATAATAGTTATAAAATAAAATCTCATGATCACGTCTTGCCTTTTTTTATTATATTTAAATGTGCAGTGATTTTATAAGAAACACAGTGGATAAGAATATATAGAATGCAAAATTATATATTAATAACATTCCATTTTTACGGAGAAATAAAAGCAAAAGCGGACCAAAAAAATGCTTTGGATGCGTTTGGAAGATGAATTCATGGATAAATCGAAGAACCAGTGAAAAAAATGCGAAAACGAGTGTTAATACAAAATATTAAATGATAATTAAATGAATATGAACAAAATAGAAAGAGAAAGGAAAAAAGAGAAACAGAGAGAGGGAAGGAGAAAAAGAAAAAAGGGGGGAGAGTTAGAAATTAATAAAATTTTGCTGTAAATTTTAAGAGATTTTACCTGCAAAAACATATATTAATTCTATGAATTAACTAATAAAAACATATTTAAAACAAAGTCAGTTTTTTTCCCAATTAATTATAATTACATTAATTAAATTTTAATTTGCGATATAATTACTTTGATAAAAAAAAATATAAGGTAAGTGACCCCAATAGTGCAAAGTTTTAAAAAACTTACTTCTTAACTTTGAATATAAGAAACATAAGTAGTCGCAATATTTTTCTTTTATTACACAAGTTCTCGCCTCATAAATTTGACCAAATATTAATAATAAATATCGATTGTTTCTGAGAACTCGTTAAGCACGCACGCGTGTTAAGCCTGTCACGAATACACGAGCAATGCAACGGGTGTAGGCGGGTCGAATTTGCTGCGCATATACGCCATTGGAGAAATGATGTTATACATACATCGACGCAGCAGGTTGCTCGACGGCAAACACGGAGCAACGGAGCAGCGCGCCGCCGCGAGTTGCCTTTCTCCGTTCTCTGTTATTTTCATTAGACTCGGGCCGATCGCCATTTTGAACGAGAAACGGATTGTTATCGCGAGTGATGTGAGAGACGGATAAGATGCTTTTCACAATAAGCATCAACAATAAATCCCGTACTATGCCGTCATTTGATCGGTACGCTTATATTTCGTATCATTAGCTGTTGAATAACAATGTAGCGGATTATCGATTGACGAATGCTGCAAAGGAGATGAAAGAATGGTAGCGAGAGAAAGCGAGCTTGCGAGATATGTATGTATGAAAAGAAAGCATAAGCTTCATGTGCTACAGTTGCGAAGATATATCCCTCGATCACATCTCCGCTTTTTTCTCAATACGTAAGTACGTACAATGTTGTCCATCACCGCATTGCTTGAAAAACAATTATGAGTTTTA